CTGTTGAAGGTATTGAACAAATGATTAATTCACCCCACTGTGCTGCTCTGTATTGAACTGCAGTGTTTGCATTTGAGGAGTCATAATGACATGTAGTGCAGAATATCAATACACAGTGTAAAACACCCCCCCCCCCCCCACACACACACACACACAGCTTCTTAGACAGACCAGTAAAATAAAATTCTAATGTGCAAATGCCTGTGAAACAGACTGAGAATCTGGCTGAGGCAAAGGCATCAGAGGAGGACAAGCTAAAAGCGGTGATGTACCAGTCCAGTCTGTGCTACTACTCCAGCAGGTGAGCGTTCAGACACTGACAGGTTTGGTTTGTGAGAAATGTTAGAGCTGATTCTCATGGTTCTGATGTTCATCAGTGAGGCCATGACACTGCTTGGGCTTCTTCCACCCAACTATGTCTGCTTTCACTGTGGGATCCCAGGACACCACATTAGGCACTGCCCCTCTAAAGGGGTAACTGGGTTTTCTAAGCTTATGGTTGCTGTGAACATGAGCTCTTGTCTCCATCAGTCAGATTGTTTGCTCTGTCGTTTGACTGTCACTCATGAATTCACAGGGCAGCAGCTCTGCTCCGCACAAGCGCATCAGGAGGAGCACAGGGATTCCCCGCAGCTTCCTGTTGGAGGTGGACGACCCAAACCGAAAGGGAGTCATGATGGACGGCAGCGGCAAATACGTCATTCCCATCATAGACGCGTGAGTAAACTTTACTTGGCATTGCCTCATGTTTTAGTGTTTGTGAAAATCTCACATTATGTCTGCTTGTGTGTGTTTGCACTTGATCTGTTCAGTGAGGCCTATGCTGCTGAGAAGAAAAAGAGGCCGTCCTTCTCCTGCCAGACCAAGCCGCTGTCCTCCTCTTCCTCAGCTGGTGCAGCATCTTCAGTCCAGGACGCCAGAGGGAAACGTTCCCGCTCCCCATCTCCACCAGAGACGCACAGCGACCAGAAGAGACCACGTCACTGAGAGACCTTCACCCAAGAGACCTGGAGCCGACGTGAGCACAGTGTATATATTGTACATAGTTTATGAATAAAACTGAATAAAGATTATAGCAGCATAAACTGTGGACTGGTTGACCTTCACACAATATAGAAACACAACAGAAAATGATCAACACATTAAGATAGAAATGATGAACAAACATGCTGCGGGAGAACCAATGTGCTGTCCTGCTCAGAATCTAAAACTTTTAGTTAAAGTTTATTTCAGAGGTGCTTCAGGGAAACTTTTTCTTATGAAAGGCCAAAAACTAAACTCGTCTGAGGGTGGTGGGCTGGAGGTAAATCTACCAAACTGTAAAATTGTCAATGTAATTTCCTAATTTATTATTATTATTCATTATATAATTTACATGATTCACTGAATACTGTAATTTACAACATTTAAAATTCTTTAATTGTATTAATAATTATACATTTTATAATGAATGTAAGTCTTACAATAAAACATGAACAATCCCATTTATAACACTAAAAATACACTTTGCCTTCGCTTGCTGATGTCTTCTGTAATGTCTGCTCTCCTTCAAGTGACTATTATTTTATTTGATTCATTCACAACATTTCATTGAAACGTTTAATTTCAGTTTGTTTAATTTTGTATCTCAACAGTTAAAAAATAAAGTTATGTTGGATTAGAAATGACAATCTCTGTTAAAGACTTTCCCCCAAAACTCCCCATCATTCTCCCTCTCTTCTCAGATGGGATGGAGGGCCAAATAAAAGGTTACCGTGGATCCACTTTGGCCCACGGGCCCTAGTTTGGGCATCTCTGATTTACACCGATGACATGCTCATCTAATCAATCCTGGCCAAACAAAATGTTGCAGCTCATCTGGTCTTCAATGATCCCAAGAGAGCCCACGTCACACCTCTCTTAAGCCTGATTTATACTTCTGCGTCAAGTGACCGGCGTAACCCACAGCGCATGCAACGCGCGTGGCTGTGCATTTACACTTCTGTGCGCTGTCTCTGTTGGTCTGCATTAACACTTCCGAAACGCTAGTTGGCAGTGAGGTGTAAATGTTCCTCTGTGTCGAGTTTCTACGCTGCTTTTGTGCTTTTCCTGAACACTTCGGGGATGTACAAGTGGCTCAAACTCGCTCATTTTGAGGCAGGAACCGGCGGACGTGCAACAACTTTAACTATGAGGTAAACACAAAACAAAACTTTCCATCCGGAGCTCCTTCACGGGACTCCACACTTGTAAACAATCGCTCGCGCCATTCGCGCGGCTCTCGGCCCCGCCCAGACTCGTCAGCGCTACCAATCACAGAGCTTGCGCTACGCGTCGTTGCGACATGTAGTTACAATTTTTGAGAGGTGCACGTCAGCGGCGCCAACGGCCACGGCGAAGGGCTATGCGCCAATGCCGTAGCATACGCCAGCGTTTGACGCAGAAGTATAAATCAGCCTTTACCTCTCCACTTACACTTGGTACACTTGCCCCTCTGTCCAGAAGTGAGCACTGCCTCTTAGAACCATCCCATCAAGGATTTGGGGGTGTTTAACCCTTCTGTGCTGTTGGTGAAGTTTTGGTCCACTCTGGGCTGATTTTGAGGCTTAATTTACCAACAACTTTCTCTGTGGTTCAGCAAATGGGATGATTTTTGGTGACAAATCTTGTTGACACATATTTTGGGAAAATACTTTTAGAATTTTTTAAAAACTCAACAATACACTCTGGGCAAATTTACCACCCTTTCATTGTGTTCATGGCTGTTTTTGCCCAAATGATTTCCATTATTTTTAAATGCAACGTCATGAAAGCGTACAATCATGCATTCTTGATTGTTGGTGGTTTTTCCTGTTGGGAAGAGGTAAGATTTGTGATTTTTACTGGTGATCATCAGTTACAGTTCAAAAAAGCTTGATTTCTTGCTTTTATATGTTGTTTATTGAGTGTGTGAGGTTGTAAGAGAGACTTTTACACACATATATTGATGTGTTGGAGAAAATACAAAATAGACACCTCAGCTGTCAGAACATAGTAAACATAGTAAGTGTACTTATGCATGCACTCTATAAATTGCAGTTTTACTCCACAGAACTCCATAAAAAAAAAAGTCAGACACGCTTTTGCACAGGGCAATGTAAAGGATTTAATGGTGCCAACTGATGATCAACAGTAAAAATGAAATTTGACCTCTTCCTAAGTGGGAACCCACTAACCAGAGTTGCTGCTGGTCAAAAGGAGACCCTAAGATAATTTTTACCGCGGTGCTTCAGCAGAGAAACAAAAACACACAAACATATGTATTTAAACGTGTTTTCATTGTGTGTGTGTGTGTGTGTGTGTGTGTGTGTGTGTGTATGATATGGCTGAAAAAAAAATGTAAACAGTGATTTTTGCACTCATTCATTCATTTTCTTGTCGGCTTGGTCCCTTTATTAATCCGGGGTTGCCACAGCAGAATGAACCACCAACTTATCCAGCAAGTTTTTACACAGCAGATGCCCTTCCAGCCACAACACATCTCTGGAAAACATCCACACACACACTCATACACTACAGACAATTTAGCCTAGCCAGTTCACCTGTACCACATGTCTTTGGACTGTGGGGGAAACCGGAGCACTGGGAGGAAACCCACGCAAAGGCAGGGAGGACATGCAAACTCCACACAGAAACGCCAACTGAGCTGAGGTTCGAACCAGCGACCCAGCAACCTTTTTGCTGTGAGGCGACTTGCTGTGAGGCGACAGCACACTACCTACTGTACCACTGCCTCGCCGATTTTTGCACTATATTGACAAATTATTGATTATTATGACATGTTATAATAATGTAATCTGCACATGTTGCCATATATCAGCTTTCTATATGGGGATGTGCAGTGAGGAAAACATTACAGTAAACCTACATTATGATGGAATGAATAAAACTAGATCAGTATACCCAGCAAACATTTGGACGTCCGATAACCGTTGAAAAGACGTCGCTCCGTCACGTTGCGTCCTGGTTGAAAAGTAGTGCCAAAATGAAAATCCAACCGACGTCTTTTCCGTCTTCTGGCCGTGAATCGCACGTCTTTTCTACACGGTCCCTCCACGTCGAAATATGTCATGTTCTGGACGTTTTCTGGTTGCTTTTAAAACGTGTTATTTCTTTATAATAAGTGTTTTAATAGCCTAATTATACATATAAAATAATCAAACTTATTATTTAAAGCTGTGAAATGCAATCAGGTCCAATTTCAGTCCAGTTATACCTAAACGTCTTTATAGCATTGTAATCACGTGTAAACCATAAGTAATACATTATGTAAGGTTGCAATATTGTTACAATTAAGCAAATTATTTATTGTGCATATAGTAACAGATGTACATCACTGTTAAACAGACACATCTAATAAGAATAAATAAAACAACAACACAGAAATATGGACAACACAAGTGAAATGTTATTTTAGAGTCTTTATTTCTAATATTCTCCAGCTCTTCCTGGAAGGTGCTTGCTGTGTTCCTCCATTGCTGCACCTTTTTCTGTGTCTGTAGCATCTGGACTCACTTCACAGCATCTGAGGAAGGAGAATATGATTTTGTATCATCTTAAAACTAAAAACTTACAACATATCAAGAATTACTGTCATGTTTCATGAATGAACAGCAATGTGCAGAGCAGTATCTAATGTCAATACATACATATTCCCTACTACTCATCATTTTACAACTGCCCATATCCACACATCCACAGTTTTGTGACAAGCAAAGACTGTCATTCATGGCTTACACTAAAATTATCATTTAATATTTTCAGTCTGCTTGACAGCCTGAGTCTGTACAAACATTTTAAAATATCTGAACATTAAAACAGGCATGTCTATAAGGAGATGTACAATGATGAATGACAGATGAAATCTATAGTTTTAATTATATAAAATGCTGGGTTAATTGTTGGGGTAGTAAAACATATTTTCCTGAAATATTGTGCAAAAATAAACACAAACAATGCAAGATAAATATGTACCTGTTTATCACTCTTTTAATCAGGCTCTGACAGAACATCCACCAACTCCGGACAGTTGCTGAACCTAAATGTGACACCAAAATCACAGTCAGAGCGATCCAGACAGACAGAGACACACATTCTGTCACATTTAAAACTTACACAGATCCAGTTCTTCTCTTCAGCTTTGATGAACACTTCACAGGATCTCGCTCTCAGAATCCAGTCTCTTAACAGAACATGTAGACCTGCTGGAGTTCACAATGACAATTACTGTAACAGAGCAGCAGCTAACATCAGGCTCATGATGACGTTAACTTTTCTAGTTGCAATTATTTACTAAAGCGTTTATCAGAATATGCAGTAATAAGATCACAATACTCACCATAGGTATAAAACTAGCTCTAGGTTTGCAAATGTGAACTCATACACATTATACACCTAAATAAACTTTTAAGCATTCAACAAGTTTCTCACCTACTCTGGAGTGTCCTCAGGGAGTGTGATGACAGAGGATCATTTGCACTGGAGACAATTCTACAGACAAACAAAACAACAGTGAGAAAGGTAATAATTCAATTATTTAATGAACAGAAAATAAATAAATGCAAAGGCTTATATGATTCTTACAGTCGGCCTGGAGAAAGAGTCTTGAATTCTGTCTGACAGATGACTGATTGTTATTGACCCTGCAAGACAAATTTGAACCTTAATGCAGTTTAATTAATTACAGTACAAAAACTATTTTACAGGAGCAGTTAAAAGAAAAGTGGTTAGACTTTACCTGCTAAATCTCCACATGAGCTAATAACACCTACATGCATATATTTACCATTTTATGTAAAATATTAAGTAAATAACTTTTTTTATATACATGCTCATAAGTTTTGCTCTTATTGTTAATGACAGCCTATTAATGTAGGCTAAAATAAATCATTAAAACTGGTATTGTAGTAAATGCTGGAGACATATCTACAATAGCATGATACTGTATAGCTTTTTGTTAGGTTTTCTAACAAATTCGTGCATTATTATCATTATTAAAATGTTTTATTTCTACACTATTCCACTCCAAACTCACCTAAAATAGTCATTTTCAGCTCTGACTGAACACACAGCAGGTGGATGATGGGCAGAGATGCTGGAAAACATGTTGACCAGCTGTCTTTGAGGACCAGTGTAGGAAGACCCTGATAAACTGCACCAGATTGCTGTGATAACATGACATATTGCTCAAACTCGACTTACTTTTAGCATAACGGCTAATTTTAGCCTAATCAAAGCAACGCCACATCGCTACTGACAATGTGCATCATTTATTTCAGTTCCTTCGAGTAAAACTCAATAATGTTATTAAACGAATACAAACTGTACTTACACGGTGGGAGATTTGTGATAATTGTCCAACTTTTCACCGCGTCCTCATGTTCTCGTGGTGCTGAACAAAACCGGAAGAAAATGAGATTTGAAAACAGCGCCCTAGTATCTCGCGGCCGCGAGATTATGTTAGTCATATCGCGAGATTTGTTAGCGTTAGGTGCAAAAAATAAATAAAATTGCATTATGGTTTTAGAAACAGTGACGTTACTATCCTTTCACCGCACAGGACACTTTATGAATGTAATTGGTCAGTTGACAAGATGTAAATAAAAGTGATTTCTGTATTTCATAAAGATAAATCTGTTTTTAATGAGTTTAGATGCCTGAAATCTGTCCACGAACCCACTTGAGACACACATATATTAAGTGTATACCCAGATGTAAGTGCAATACTTTTTAATATTTCATAATTTCAGCAAGGGTATATGATGGACTATAAATGCACGTGTAAAGGACGTCATTTTTGGACTTAATCAGGACATGGTATATATTAAACTACATGTACATTAAATCGTAAATACACGCAACCCCAAATATAAATAGACATGTTTAAATGTATACAAGCATATTAATGCATTTTAGGACATGTTGTGCATTTGTGCCGTGCGTTCGCGACGAATTTTGGCTGTGGAAAGCACGTCGCTTTCAGACCATCCGTACACCATTGATGCCGTCGTGGAGCGACATCTTTTGGCCGGGGAGAGCACGTCGTCGTCTGACCAATGTTTGCTGGGTATCCACTGTCTGCACCGTTCCCTCTACACTTATGCATAAACCATCATGAAACCTGTATCATATATTTTAAACAACAATATTTAATGATTGTTAATGATTGTTTATTGAAACGATGTGCGTTTAATGTGCTGGTGATCTAAAGTTGTGTTCCTGTAGTATTTGTATGATAATAGGATTATGTGAACCAATGATCCTGCAAATGCAAGACTTCCTTAAGGAAATGAATGCAGCATGCAGAGTTTTGAACACTGGAGAGTTTTTGTTAAAAGTAGTGACTGTTCAGAGTTTTGTGTCTAGAGTTTTGAAAATTGACATCAGGGTTCTAATATTTGTGGCAAAATGATTGAAAAATACTGTAAGAGAACAGTAGTCAAGCACTTTTCATAATGTATTTGAATTACTTTATAATGTGGAGTTAATTCAAGCCTTTCTGCAATGATGAGTCACACACAATGTCATTACAAAGTTCCTGTGCGCACACAGACACACCCACATATGCGTTTTAAAGCTGATTTATACTTCTGCATCAAGTTTACGTGTATGGGGTATGGACACTGACGCTGACCTCTCAAAAAATAAAACTATATATCACGACAATGCGTATCGCAAACTCTGTGAATGGTCAGCTTGGTAGAGCTGAGATGTGTGGTCAGGGCTGAGAGCTACAGGAGAGTGTTTACAGGTGTTGAATCTGGTGAAGGAGTGTAGTGGTTTTCTTGGTTTTTCTCTTACTCAATCAAACTCAGTCTGGAGGTTATGAATATCAGAAGAATATACTTTATTGTCGACAACAAAGGAGAACTTTCAGGAGACCCCCAGTAGCATCTCTGTCTGAAAAATTCTGCCTCACTCATCTTCTGGCCTTACTTAAATACCCTTTTACATCCGTTGTTTTCCTTTGTTCTCCATATATTACACAAGATCCCTCCTAGTTTAACCCTTGACCCCAAATTCCACCTCTGTCATCTGTTTTTGTCTTAGTTCTACATATATCACACAAATTCCACCTAGGTTAACCCCTGACCTCAATTTCCACCTAGGTTAACCCCTGACCCATACCTGGTAACTATATAACTTATCCATTTCTTGTGATATGGTAATTCTTCTAATGGTATGCAAGTCTACAAGCAGATTATACACATACAATTTAAATATATATATAAACTTCACACTTTAAAGAGTATAAAATCCACTTCATATAATCCCTCCTCTTAAGACTTTAAGTCTTAATATTCTTTTTTTTTTTTTTTTTCCCATAGTGCAACTCCATGATCTAGCCCTTAGCCATACTACCTAATGACAAATATATGTCACAGTATTATTACAAATGACCAGATCATGTAATTGCACTTTGGAATAAAATCGAGCCAAACTTCTGCGCCCACTATTGACGAGGACACAGTAAAAGACTCGATTCTATTTTGTTGTTATCATAAGAGGTATTGTTTTAAGCATACAGGTGGTTATACATTTGCTTCTGGGGGTCATGGTTATTTAACACACTGTAAAGAATAAAACTAAAACACTAAAATAAAAATAAACATACACAATCTCCCAATATATGGTCACAACATAATATTCTAATCTAACACCCACACACATAATCCATAACATAATATTCTAATCTAACATCCACACACATAATCCGTAGAGTATGTTGATCTTCAGCCCAGATACTTTGCGTATCGTAGAGAGCCGCCGTTTTGGGGTAGAGGTTTACTAGCACTTAACACCCAAGGCATGGATCCTCTTCATCATCCTCTTCTTTATCTAAACTATTAAAAAAAAGTTCATCTTTTTGACCCTAAATCTGGCACATACTTGCGAGCATTCTTTGTTTCGTTCTGGCCTTAAAAAGTGTTGCTAGAGACTTTATGTTGAGAGTCTATAACCTGAAGTTGTGGTGATTATCATCACTTGAACTTGTGGCACCTTCTGTATTTCTCACTCAGGTATATTATCAGAATTACTCTTTTAACTGTTCTGATAAACTCCTTTAGCCACACTTTGCACTTCGTTGAGCTTCAAGATTTTCTGCCTCCTCTGTTTCCCGTTAGCTTTCTCTTGCTGGAGCTTTTTTCTTTGGCTGTCTTGTGCTGTGGTCCAGATGGTATCCAGTTGATGGCATCCCCTTTGGTAACCTTGGCATAAGGTCCATTTCTCCTGATTTCACTCCACTTTCTCCAGAAAACCTCAGATATACTCGATCACCGGATTAATCTCCTGCTTCTGGTCCTTTCTGGTTTCCTGTACAGTTATTGCTTTGCACATGGCAGTTAGTTTCCTCATAAAAGACCAAACTTCTTTCCAATGCATTATAAATGTTCTCCAAACATTCCACAAGGTTAAATACGAGATTACATGCAAGGGTCGACCCAATAGTATTTCATGCAATGTTAGTTGCTTGTTTCTGTCAGTTTTCATGCAATCACTTATTAATGCAAAAGGTATATTATTTTAACACATCTTGTTAAACTAGGCCTTGATGAATCATCTTTAGCTCTTTCAATCATTCCTTAAAATTATGTGTAATTTCTCAATTTTCTTTATTTCCAATACTTTATCAATCCATTTATTTATCTATTCACTGAATTATATATCCACTTATTTATCTACTTAATTACCTTTATTCACTTTAATTGACTTTAATTACTTTAATTTATTTTTAAATGCAGACACATTATTTGAACTTTCTTCAGAGGTTATTCCAAATCTGAGACTTCTCTTGTCTTAAATGTAATAACTGTTCCTTCTTCCCTGTTCTGCTGATGGAATTACCTTCACTCATCTACCAAAACTGTCATGCCAAAAGTTTGTATCTCTTGCCCTAAGCTAATTTTATCATTTCACAACATCCACAATCAAGTTCTTGAATATCCCCTTAAGCCTATTACTGATCTTTTACTCACATTCTACTTTGCACAAATGTCACATATGGACAACAATTCACTAATCACTGCATTCAAAAAGGCGATCATTATCCTTAGTGCTCAATTTTCTTTACCACTTCACCCTTGATTCAAACCATGTACATCTCAAATGCCAATCTATTAAAATGCTGTTGCCTCAACAATCTGTTCTTTGTATGTATTACATAAATCTTATTTGTCTTTTTCGTTCACCTCTAATGCTACATATATTGTTCATAGATACTAGTATGTTGTTTAATTTCCACTATCATCTAATTGAGGTTGTGACTCTATACTAGTGTTAGACCTGCTACCCTATTTTCTTTAATGTAAAATAAATTTCTTATTTATCAGCTTATCAGTTATTATTGCATCTGGAATAGATACAGAATCTTGTTAACACTAAACCAATCATCCCTAAAAAGTTTTATTTCTGTCTTTTACTTAGCTTGAGCTAGATGTACCTGCAGATAATTAAATCCTACACATTACAATATCCATCACAAAATATTCTAAATCCTTTTATGCATTCTAATGTATGTATAACAGCCTATTTACTTTAAGTGTAACCAAGTGTCTACCCTCCTCTGATAATTAACTGAACAGAAATAAATTACATACATTTTTGGCATCCAAACTAACAAATTTAAGTGCAGCGCGTGTTAGGAACCTCTGCTAAGAAATTCTCTATCACTGACTGTTCTTAAATCATAAATTTTACAACAACTACTTTTGTCTGCTTTGACTAATGTCATAATCAAAATTTAAATTTAAATCAAATTCAAATAGAATCCATTTCATTCGTCACCTACACAATCACAACCGAATTGAAATTGACTTTAATTAGAAATGCCATAACATATCTAAGTGTTTCTATTATTGCTATGTTCTCAAAAGTTTCAATAATGCCTATTCCAGCATATAACAGACCTGCATCTGGTTAAATTTTAATTAATCCTCCCTATGCTGGCTAATTTTGTTTTCCCTTAATGTCCTGAACTGTTAATCATTATTAAAATTTGACACCTAAGTAATTTCTTATTTCTGAGCTATTTCTTATTTTGCATTTTATATTATTACCATTTTTCACTTTTCAGCATTTTCAGCTCCCAATTCCTTCCTGCTCTCACATCACACTGTTTGTACATACATTTTTTGTTGTAATTTTCTACCAGTTGACTGAAAAATCACTGGATTTCTTTATAGGTTCCTCTCTATCTGATCTGATTATTCATCTTTAGTCCTTAATCCTTTTTGCTTTTAATTATTTCTTCACATATGTAAAACAACCTATTTTCTGTTTTTAAACACTTTTCTCTTTCAAATATTCTTTTAGTACATTTAGAATTGTTACCTTTTGACCTATTCAGTACTG